CTCCCCTCTTCTATCTGCGCATTCCTGCCCCCCTCTCCCGTGTGCAAGTTGCTGTTTGTGTCTCTCTTGCTCGTTCCTTCTGTGCTCCCTCTCCCTCTTCTCTCTCTCTTCCTTCCTCTCTTCTCTCTCTCTCTTGTCCCTGCACATCTCCTCACCCTCCCTTATTCCTTCCTTCCTCCACCTCATTACTGTCCTCCTCTCTCTCTCTCTCTCCTTCCTCCCTTCCTCCTCCCTTTCCTTCCTTCACCCCCTCACTCTCCCTTCTCTCCTCTTCTCTCTTCTCCCTCCTCCTCTCTCTTTTCTCTACTTCTCTCTCCATCCTCTCTCTTTCTCCCTCACCTCTTGTCTCTCTCATATCCGTATCTATTCTAATCTATCTAGTCTATATCTCCTAATCCTTATCCTAGCATCTTCATATCCATCTGCTTCTTCCCTCCCTCTCTCACTACTCGTGTCAAGCATAAGCTTCTTCCATCATCTTCTACACTCCCTCCACTCTCATCTCTCATTCATCTCTCTCACCCCTCCTCTCACACCCTCCCCCTTCTATCTCTCTCTCCTCTTCCTCCTTCTCTCTCCTCGTCCCTCACCTCCCTCACCTCCCCTTCTGCTCTTCCTCTCACTCTCTCTCACTCTTCTCTCTCTCCTCTACTCTCACTTCTCTCTCTCTCTTCCTTCTCTCTCCTCTTCTTCTCCTCTACTGTCCTCTCTTCCTCTCTCTCCATCTTTCTCCCTCTCATATCCCAAGCCTTCCACCAAATTCCAATGGCTCCTTCGTGTCCGTACTATTCCCCAAATTCCTGGAATTTATTTCTAGAGCCTAATTTGCACTCGACTCTTGTCCTCACCAACTGCGACCTAGTTCCTGGCACCTTCCCATCCAAGCGGCCATTTATACGCCCCAATATATTTTTCAATCACTTCACCACTATTTAGTTCCGTGAAAGAGGGCGACGCCACACTGAAAGGAATGGTGGGTAAGAGAAGAGAAGAGAAGAGAAGGAGAGAAGAGAAAGAGAGAGAGAGAGAGAGAGAGAGAGAGAGAGAGAGAGAGAGATGCAGAGAGGAGAGAGAGAGAAGAGAGAGAGAGGAGAGAACTGAGAGAGAGAGAAGAGGAGGGAGTACAATGAAAGAAAAGAAATAAAAACGAAAACAGAGAGGAAGAAAAGAGGATAGAGGAAAAAAGAGAGGGAAGGGAAAGAAAGAGAGAGAGAGGATGAACAGAGAGAAGAGAGAGGAAGGAGAGAGAGAGAAGGAAGCAGAGAGAAAGAGGAAGAGGAGAGAGAGAGAGGTAAGAGAGAGAGAGAGAGAGGAAGAGCAGAGAGAGAGAGGAGCAGAGAGAGAGGAAGAGAGGAGAGAGAGGTAAGAAGAGAGAGAAGAGAGAAGGAAGAAGAGAGGAGAGGAAAAAGTACGAGAGAGAAGGAAGAAAGAGAGAAGGAAGG